AAATTAAATCCCAATATAAGTTAATTAAGAGACTTTTTTTCTTCTCTTCACTTATGACTCGACAGAACTGTCTTTACCATTGTGTTATAGTCATGGCCCTAGTCACAGATACTGTTTGAAATGAATAGTACATGTTTCTGAACATGTTGTTTCTGAAAAACATAGAACATTACTTTATATTATTTCACCATATCACTAAATTTTTATATCATGGCACTTTTCTGAAGGATACACTACATGTTTCATACAATATTTTATTACTTGCATTAAATTTTAACTATAAAAACTTATGGCAATTTCATTACTAATCAACTTTATTCTCAGGAGAAATTTCAAAGGTACTATGATTTTTTTTACACTTTCCTTAATCTTTTCCCCAGTATCTCAAAAGAGAATACTACAAATACTGCTATAATCCAAAAGATTTACCTGATAGCACAGAAATTGCCACGAAAATGCAATTTTGTAATAAAGGATATTTGTTTCCTTCAAAAATCGGAACAGCAATGTCAAAAACCAAAATTAAAAGTTACATAGCTAATCTTATTCTAAAATGAAGATTTTCATTCGAACAGTGATATAACCCCATTTTTAATTTTGAGAAAGTACTACAGTATTGCTGCATCATGCAAAATCACAGGATACACAGAATGATAAAACAAATAAGACACACACAAATATAATATAAGCAGAATGAAGAAAAAATGAAAAGTAGGTGTGCTTCAAAGTTGCTAAATTGAGTTATTTTACATTCTTTAAATACTTTTCAATAAATACTGTTCACATTATTTGTTTGTATGATTCAAGAAGTTGATAATGGCCAGATTAGGGATATCAGTATTTTTTTATCAGCAAAGGGCAAAGCTAATTCATCCTATTCTTATGCCCATTGCAGCAACATCATAAAGTAATATGAATGTTTTTGCAACAAATGATTGAGTAAAACTATATCTTTTTAATACTTTAGAGCTGACTAAAAAGAAATCGTGTTTATTCAACCATGTTTTCACTTTTATCTTTTCTTATTTTCATGTTACATCAGTGAAGTTCCAACTCAGAACAATTTAAAGACACAAAAATTTAGAGTAATAAGAACCATACCAAAACACTATAAAAATTATCAAAAAGGAATTCAGTATTAATTATTATTATTTAATTAAATATCTTTGTAATATGATAATTTTCATAATACTAACTGATACTTGTTTCTTCCTAATAAAGAAATCAATAACTCTGTTTTAATTAAATCAGGTAAATGTAAATAACGCATTTATACAACAAACATTTATGTAAGAAATAACTTTTGAATTTGTTACCTTTATGCCAGGGGCAGTTCATGACTACAAGATTGGTAATTCACAACATGAAAATAGGTAAATAACACGTCTCTGCCAATAAAATCTGACACCAAAACGAGTCAATGAATGTTTGAAATGGTTTTAATGCTGGAGACATCTGGGGCTTCTCCAACTCACTGTTGTTTAACCAACAACCTTCGATGCCACTTTTGTTGATTCTAAATAGGCATCATACTATTAACATTGGGATGGTTTTGATTCTCTCATTCTGCAGTCATAAAGTACTGTAAAATTGAGTAAAACTAATTCAAAATAAAATAAAATACATTACAAAACTATAATTTTTTTAAAATTCTCTATGTAAAAATAGGTATATGCAGAAATAAATTTTAACAAATTTATCTTCTGATTACTTTTTCAAGTTACTAAGGTACATTAATAATGCATTAAAATCTTCGGGGCCATTAAAAATATATGATTACAAACATTTTTCCTTCTGACTTTCTCACTCACCCTTTCTTTGAAATCCTTACAAAAGCACTTTCCATGAGATGAAGATTCCATTTTCACCCCCTCCCACACATACTATACACATGCATTTCTTGTTATTGACAATAGTACAACTTTGGAATTGAATATATTATATACATATATATTTCATACAATTTTTAACATTTAAACACAAGACACATTTTTGATTAATTATATCATTAATTTATATTTGGAAGATAAAAATAATATATTTATTAAAAAAAAAAGGTAGTGAGAACATTCATTTTTCAATTTTCTTCCCCCTGTTGGCTTTTTTCAGTCATGGGTCAGTCATGTCTCTTTTCTTTCTAAAAGCAAATGAATTACTTTATATATCCTATTAAGGTAAAATAAAAATTAACATTCATAGAAATGACTGATGTATACATTAATTCTCATAGAGTAGATACAAAAATTCAAGATTGTTATGACAACTATCTAACACAAATTCATTATTAATGAAAATATATTTCACAGATTTGCTCAAAAAGTTTGAACAGAATTTCCCTCAAATTTCTAAATGAGTTAGTTTATAATAGGAGAAACATGCTTTATTTACTTTTGTTTGAAAAGTACTCCTTTTAATATATTTTTCTACATCTTTTCATTTATATTCTATAATTTTCTGCAAAGAAAAATTATACACAAAATGTTATAAAAAGCCAAAGCAATACTTAACAGTCTTCACAAATTTTATTGAAATTATTTAATAAATTAAATTTTGCTATTAATATAATTGCCATAGGAAAAGAAATGCAGTGCTGAAAAAATGAATTTCCTATCATATCTAACTATAGACTTACTTTTATCAAATCCATCTTATTCTTTCAAGAACTTTCACTACAATAATATTCAATGTTGGAAAGAAAATGCCATCTAACTTTAGGCGTTGAGACATGACATTTTTTTAATAATCAAAGCACATAATTTAATGAGGAAGGAATGGAATTACACAACAGATGACACATAGTTATTAATGTCCTTACAGAAGGGATTTCACATGTTAGCAAATAAATATTACATTTATAAAATATTTATTTAATATACATTCTTCTAAAATTTTTAGAACAATAAATCAAAACTTTTTACATGGATATCATCAGGTATTAAAGAAACTTTGTTGTAAAAAAGTAAATTTATCATAGCAAATTAATTAATAAATTTTCTATAATTTCTTGACATCTACTATATGAAAAGTATTTTATGAAGAAAATGAGTTTCACAATAGATGAGGATTAGGAAAGAGTTTAATGAGCAACAAAGTACCACTTTTTGTTTATTACATGAATTCTTACTTCTTATTCACAATATTAAAATATTTAATACTACAATAAATAAAAATACTGCATTAGGTAGAATAGAATTTAATTTAATGTAATACAACACACAATCTATCATATGTATTTATTTTATTATTATTATAAATAATTTTTACAAAACATTGTGAAAAAATGTTGTAAGTTCTTCATTCCTGTGAACTCATAAACATTATAATTATAAACATATCAATATTAACTTAGGATAAAATTCCACAATGTCTGTTAGTGACTTTGCATAATTATCTTAAGAATATAAAAATGCCTCTGAATCAACAATTTTTTTATCTAGTGATTCCAGTATCTCTTTATGTAATATTCTTGTTTTAAAAATTACATTATATACAAAACTCTTTTCTAAATTTTATTTCAACTCACTAGTTGAAAAATTTGCTAGCTTTATTACGAGTATTGTTTTGCATCAGTTTCATTACATTTTATTTATTACCAGTAATTCTTTTCTTGTTACATTCCTGTCTTTTAGTTGGTTTCTCAATTATATTTACTGCAAATAAGAGGATGTTACTGCAAGTAATAAAATGTTATTGAATGAGCTACTTGTGTTAAGCATATTTTTGTGGAAACAGATATTTATTATTTGGTGAACAATGTTGTTTACAAGGGTCAAATATTTTATAAGATGTCTTTATTTACATTTATAGAATAAAACATGAAAAAAAATTGTGTCTTCAGTTTGTACCTTTGTGAAAAATTTAAGAAACAATGGCAAAGGAACTAACAATGAATCTAAATAAAAGGGTGTATTTTAATTCCGTTTATTGTCAATTTACCTTTTAAAAGCAACACTTCTGTCTTTACTTTCATGTAATTTTTAAATCTAAATATTATAATATTTTTAAGTTAGTATGTAAAATTAATAAGAGGATAAATTAAACTTTCGAAATCTTCGCGTTCGGATATAATATAGCTTCAGTGCATGATTACGATTCCGTTCAACAGTTTGTTAGTCAATCGGAAGTAAATATTTGGCATCATACTTATTATTTAGGCCTACTTAATCCACTTGACTTCCGACAGACGATTCTAATAGCAGTGGTTGAGAACAGCAATATCAATTTAACATTCTTACACTAGAAACACGAAATAGGCGACGTCTTTAATCCCCGTGAAACAATTGATTCCATGCCTGATCAGTAGGTGACAGTATCAATCAAGTTACTATCTCAAATTAAGACTGATCGCTACTATAGTTCTCCTTCCGAGTACATGTGACATTTTTTTTCTATGCACAAGCCTAAAAATCTTTCGATTTTGGTGTCTCTACCAAAATCTATTAATTTCTGATGATACTAATCACTTATTAATTACCGGCATCGACAACGGATGATTGATTTCATTTTCCCTAATGTTCAATTCGAACACCCCTCCATGTCCACTGCATCCGTTTTCACCTGGATTTCATTTCTACCGTTTAAGGTCCTCACTATTTTTTTCACACGTAGCCTTGTAGCATCATCATTTGGTATCGTATTATAGGCATTACAGGTGACGAGAAGCCCAGAAGTACTTTTTGACGATTTGCGTTATTCACCAATGATGAAAAGTTATGAAACTCTAGAGGCCAATCAAATTATGCGTACTATGTTTATTTTGGTGTCGATGATAACCCGCCAAAAGAGCCTTTGCGGAGGTAAAGTTTCTTATTTCTTAATTGTGAGTTTTGAATGTAGTACGGCAAATACGGCTCACGACATTGAAAATGTTGCTATAGTGCCTGAATATCACGTATTTTGACGTCCCTGAAACGCATTTTACTACAACACAACCGGTAGCTTGGATCAGATTCCAGATTCTCCCTTGCGTCAGAGACTACGTTATTCAGTATGAATGCACGGCAGCCATCTTGCTAGAAATGTAAACCTTTGTTGATTCAGTGAGCTAGTGTCGTGTTTTTATCGGAAAACAATATATACATATGCATTTACAGTGTATGTCGCGTGGAAGATGTGAAACATAGAGGAAATATGGCGTGATAGACTAGAAGGTAAGTCGATTATCTCCTTACAATACTCTTAGAACCTTGGAAATGTATTTACTTGCATGCGACATAGGCCGATGTGTATACCGCGTTCGTGTTACCGTGCTAGCCTTGTGTTTATGAGGAAATTGTGAAGATGCCATTGATTTGTCAGCTTTGGAACTGTGGTAATTATAATCAAGGTAGATTCTAATTTGTGGTACACATGTTGAAGAGGGTGTACGACCTTCCATTTGTAACAGAAATGACCTGAATATAAAATCAGTAAAACCGCCCAAGATGGCTGCCGTCCGTGTGTTCGCGCACCGAAGTGCGGAAAGAGCTCGTTTGAGATTTCAAAATGGTTGCGTGTGAGTGACATAATTGCCTTCGCTTGGTTATGAAAATAATATTTGATGTCTCGGGTATTGTGGCATTTAGTTTAAAGTGATGTGGAAGCCTCCAGATGGTAGAAAATTGAGGCTGTGAAATGTACTCGCGGCGGCTGGTTACGTGCGGGGCCGCGCGGGCGGTGGGGGCGCAGGCATGCCTGTATGCTGACGCTCCCCGGGACAGAGGGTCGGACGGTCCCGCGACATTTATTTCATTATTGTAGCTTTGGGTAAGCGAGCTCGTCGGCGGCGTATGTTTAATTGCGTAGGAGTTTGTTCTTTAATTTATAAATTTAATATAATGAACAGTTTATATTTTTTGATGATGCTATTACGTCTTAAAATACGCGCTTACGACGGGAGGCACTTTGTTTACTTTTCGGAATCGAAGCAAAACATTGTCACAAGAATCATTATTTTAGCGTTTGAATATTGTGATATGGAATACAATATATTTGTTGAATTTTGACCTGTGATGATGCCATATGAAATCTGTGTTGTCATTTTTCGTAATGTTTTAAAATTGCATCATAATTGTTTTATTTGCTTTCAGATGCATGCACTTCATCACAATAAATGGGTGACATGCGAAAGACTTCCAAAGGCGGTTCACTGAAGTGCTTTGATCTGCCTGTAATGTTACGAACGAAGGCGTCGCAGAATGCTTCGCCCCGTACGTGAAGTCGGGTTTCCATGGTGGTGATTCTTTCGCATCTTTTTTGCGTCGCAGTGCGTAATTTGTGAAACGCCACAATGAAGGATCAAGACAGCGTGGGCCGCGATACGTGGCTCGGCTGGATTCTGGAAGCCATCCGCAAAATACGACAGCAGAAGCAGCGGCCGTCCGTGGAACGCATCTCTCACGCGATCCGCCAGCATCATCCGTTCTCTATCGACGCGATTTCGGAGCAGCTGGAGATAGCCGTCAAAGATGGCAACGTGCTCAAAGTGTTCAACAAGGGTCAGAGTTCGTACAAGGACCCGGGGGGCATGCAAAATCGGCAGCTTACGGTGGTCAAGGGGTCGGACCTGTCGAAAGTCATCGCGAAAGCGGCGCGCGAGTTGAACGAGTCGGAAGGCTCGACGCTGAAAAGCATCGAGAAGTACATCCGGCAGTCGCACGCGGTGAACCTGTCCGGGGACGTGGACTTTCGTGCGTTGCTTCGAATTTCCATCAAGCGAGCGGTTGCCCGGGGGCTGGTGACGCAGGATGGTCGCCTCTTCAAGCCGGTGCCGCGGGCGCCGGGCCTGCCGAAAGAGAGCCGCGGCTTACCGTCATCGCATGGCGGACGCGCGCTCCCTCAGCCCGGAGATGCCCAAGGTAAGGAGGCAGCGCGCGGCGCGCGCGCGCGGCGGAGAGAGCGCGGAGCGGGCGGGCGGGCCGCCTCGCCCGCTCGCTCCCCCGCAGGCGCGGCCCGGTGCGCCGCTTGCCGGGGCGGGCCGGCGGGGTCGGACGAAGCCGGGGCCGCGCCGGGCGGGCGGGTGGCCGACCGGACGGGGGTGGCTCGGGGCGGGGGCGGCGCGGCGCGGCGCCGAGCGCATCCCTGCCGGGGCCCGGCCGGCCCGCCGGCGGCAGTACGCTGCCCGACACCGCTGCGGCCCCATCCCTCTGCTCAGGCTTCGGCGCGAAAGAAATGAAATGAAAGCGTTTGGCTCGCATGGCGAATTTTCCCCATAATTTAATTGTCAGCAGTCACTGAAAGATGGGAACAGAGATGCTAATAGAATCAGTGCTGTTTCGGAACTGTGGAAACATAAGGTTTAATTGGAGTTCTGAAAATAGGAAGTTCGGCAATTTTCCTAGTACCCTAAACAGTTTTTTTGTAACCAAGCAAATGTCAACATTGAAGACTTAAGCAAGTGTCAACAAATGAGAAGTTTTTATAATATTTGAAATGTCAAGTTTGTATTTGCGGGGTTCTAGAGCACCCAGTAAACATTAGCCTCTGCCTGCAACATTAAAAAAAAAAATGATTTCCGCAAATTATTGCGCGTTAAATCTTCGGGTGCTCTTTGCCTCATGACGGGCGGTCTGCGCAAGCAGAGCAGCCGGCCGTTCGGGAGGACAACGGCATCAGCAAGCCGTTGCGATCGGGAGCGCAGTGGGCGGCTTAGCCCGGCCACCCTAAATTTAGAGACTATTGACAGCGTGCGCGGGTCGGCTGGACGCTGGATAGATGCGTGCGTACGTACGCCTGCCTCAGTGGCGGGCGGGGGAGGCGAGGCCGGAGCTGTCACCCGCCGCTCGCTTCCTCACCCGTCGTTCCGCAGCCGCCGCGCCGAGCTCGTGGCGCGGAGAGGGCGAGCGGGGGCGCCGCGCGCCCGCCTCCCGCCCGCTCGCCCGCCCAACCCGCCCGGCCGTCGATCGAACGGCGACGGCTCGCGCTTCCGTTAATTCGCCGCGCCACCCGCGCTTAGTGATTAAAACGCTAACTGGCGATTTGCTTTCTTTGCGGCGATGGAATGCCGCTGTCGTCGCGAGCACACAGACTAGGTTTTGTTTGAAGAGCGCGTTTTTGTTCGACTTTCGTACTGCGGGCGTTACTTATTCCAAGCGTTAAAAAGCTCGGGACCAGACGGGATCAGCCTGTGAAGCGATGACAACGCTTACGGCGTACGACGTATCAAATACTTCTGGAATTATAATTTTTTGTGTAACATTTTTATCGAGTGATGTATTCTAATAATTTGTGTAAAGAAGTTCACAGAGTTATTTTGATTTTTAAAAATTCATTTACCTTGTACATTTTTTCCGGTCGACGTTCTGAAATTCAATAAGGGCAATTTGACATAAAAAAAAGAAGTGTTGGGGATTAAACATTGAAGTCAAAAGGAAGTTGCGTTATAGTTGCGCAAGTATGCCAGCATTACGAAAACGTTTTTATTACCTGTGTGGGAAATACTAATTTGTTTTAATGGGGTTTAGGTTGTGAAACTGTCGTTTTAGTGCCAGAGGAGTTTGTACAGTGTTCGCGAACTAAGATTCATTTTCGAAGGTGACCGTTGGGAGAGTTTTTATACCGCTCACTCCAGTTTTGAAAGTTTAAGTTTTTATGAATTTCGCAGCATTTAAGTAAACAGTTAATCTTGTAATAATAATATAATTGTTATTATATTATAATACTAGCTGTAAGATTATGAAACTGGCCAGCTGCTGAAGCGATGTATGGAGAGGCGGGAGCGGAACGGCGGAGTGCAGGCCGGCCGGCAAGGCGGCAGGTGGTCGCGGGGAGCGGCGGCGGCAGCGGGGCGTGCAGCGCAGCTTCGACCGCCGCCGCCGTCGCCGCCTCGCTCGCCGCTCGCGCGGTGCGCGACGCCGTGCTCGCTCGTTCGCAGCTCGCTCGCTCGCTCGCTTGCGCGGGGTGGCTGCCGATCGGTTGGCCGGCGGGCCGGCTTGCTGCCTGCCTACCGGCTGCACAGCCGCAGCGGCCAGCCGGCAGAGCTGCCGCTTCGCCGGCGAGGGAAAACGGTCGCCGCCTCGCCCGCGCCGCGACAGCCGCCGCCGCCGGCTCCGGCATTGTCTATGCAGCGGGCCTTGCCGCCGCCGACCCCGGCCGCTCCTTCCGTTACTCGCGCCGTTTCCTTGTGGGGATTCTTCAATGTTAGGCGACGAACCGACGCGCTTTGCATCGCTTTGGCGATGCAGCGAATGAAGAAACATGACAGGAAATATAGGTTTTTAGTACTTTTCTACTGCTTGG